TTTCGCCGCCATACTTTTGTACATTTGAATAGAAAGCCCGGTTACCACACCGCTTGCTTCTAAATACTTTTTTTTTACATAATAATTAATATTGTCACAAACATAAAGTTGAAACCAGTTTTAAAATAACACTGACCTTTGAGTTATTTTGACATATTTCAGGCTTTGTTCATTGGGATTGGATTTAACTAAAAAAATACTTTTTTTACATTTCCATCTGTAGTTTGACGATTGACAGAGATGGATGGAAGAGTAGTGCTGTGTAAAACTGCGTAGAGAGAATAGTACGATATATTAAGTTAATATTAAGTACTATTCTAGTATAGCTAATTAAAACCCTATGTCTATGTAATATTTGACTTCGTTACCATCGTGATGCAATGTTCGTGGAGCATTACACTTGTGCTGGGGGTCACGGGCCGGGGTCACGCTAGTTACAGGCAATTGCGTGACCCCACTGTTTGCTCAATCGGTGAAACTTAAATGTTTTGTCTTTATTTAAATGAATAAAAGAGACTTAGTTTTAGACTATAGTACAGTATAGTATAGTACAGTACAGTATAGTACAGTACAGTACAATACAGTACAATACAGTACGGTACAGTACTATTATGATCAGTTTTGTTGCTCTAATTTCGGATAAATGACAATGTTTATTTATTTGATTAATGTTTATTCATAAAAAACCGTTAATTAACGATAAAGGTCACTGTATACGGGTTATTATGAAACCGCGAATTATTTATTAATGCTTTGATTACAATTTCACGAGTAAACTAAATGAATGAGGCCAAAATGTATAATTATAATTATTTAATAATTAAAAAGTTATTTATAATGACATTTTTTAAATAATTACAATTATTTCAATCATGCAAATGTATTTGGAATAGTATTTTCAACTGAAATGTGAATTTCATTCCAAATTATCAGCCAAATCTCGTTTATTTCAACCAAGACTATACAACGCTTATACAGAACAATCCCTCAAGCATGGGAATGTTTGCATTGAGCAATTTCCCTCAACAACGAAGCCGGGACTCACGCCTGCAATTTCCTCCGGGATCAAACCGGGACTCACGAGCGCTCGTGTCTCCGGCACACGAATCTATTTACAGGTTAAACTAACCAATTGATATAAATAAAGTTTTACATACGACTTTTATATTATAGCGACATTCTTGAAACCTTGTAAAGGGTTAACAGAACTATAAATACCGTATTAGTTGATGTATTTAATGCAAAGAATAAACATTATTGTGATTATTCCTAACCGTCACCCCGCTCTGTGCTCACGTGGGGACCGATGAGAATTTGAAAATCATCCGTCCCACCTTCCGTCGTGCGACTAGGGGACGGATGGAACTTACTTTATTTTATAACGATTCCACCTGTCACCTTATAGGTGATAGTGGGACTAAAAGACTGGCCCAATCCGCTAAAGGAGTGCCATAGACAAGAAACTGAACTGAACTGTGACTAAACGGTGGGACTGATGAAACTTTACAGTCTCACGTGGGACCTGCTCGGGGTGACGGTTAGGAATAATCCAATTATTCTATGCACACTTTTTCACAATCATACCAACCGAATAAAGAAGATTGAACACACTTTAAGTAACCAACAAAATAACGCAGTTTGAATATACTTTAAGTATAGGTATATAAAATCACTTCCAAGACGTACTAGTATACTAACAAAAGCAAAAAACCACGTAATGTGACGCATGTACGGACCGCACGTGACATTGTCGACAATCCCCGCGCGGCCGCACGATGCGTCTTGTCCAACATTCGTGGATTTCTGCACGAAAACAGCTCATTCCTGACATCAGCTACTGGTCTGAGTTATAAGCAGAAGCGATTGTCAATATAGACAGGTGTGATCGAGTGCAATGGATGTTTAAACCTGCCTACCCCTAGCTTTGTTGTTGCTGTTGTATTTCACTCATAATTCTTTACTTCCTTATTTGAACCGTTACTTCGTGTTCTTTATTTGCACCATAGGTAAATAAGCAGAATCGCTACCAGTTAATGCATTATGTCCTTTTAACACCGGGACATGATTTTTTTGCGTGTAATTCCATGATTAGCAGAATTACACACACGGGAGAGACATACGTGGAGTAAAGCTGGTACACATAATTTACAAGTCTCTGACTTTATTTTCCTCCCTACTTAAAGGACATTATTATATAATTTTATTCTTATAAAAGAATAATGTTTTGTCTTTATTTTTGTTCAATATGTGTATGTGATAATTATTTGGTTCAACGTTTGCTATTTTAAAAAATCTTTTGTAAGTGCTGTCATCTGTGTTCTGCTTTATTTATTTTTCTTTTTCTATAGTATACTTCATTTGGTTGTGAATTTTGAACATGCAATTGATGTACCTTATAAATAAAAATACCCTATAAGTAAAAAAAAAATAACTGTAATCCCTCCAGAATGGCGCGCTATTCCAATACGTCTAATGACAGCTGCCGTAGGGATGAGACATCTATACCGATAATCTAGTGATGCGCTAATCCGGCGCAGTACTAATTTTCTTACTACTTAGAGTCATATACGACAGTCACGTGTCAAATATCGATATAGACATTTCACTGAAGATAGGAAATAAGTAATCGAATGTAACATGGAGTGGTTAACGCTTGATATCGAAGCGTTTTAACTGCTGGTGTACCCGGCGTTACGCGGTCGGCCTCTGTCATCACTACGTGTCACAAATTCGAACTCACATCGTTTAACGGTTTGAAAGACATGACATTCATATATCATTACCGATATACGGTAGTTTGAATGTGGGGAAAAAGTTATTTTTGACATTTAAAAGTCATTTCGCTAGATAATGTAGGCCTTAGGCGGTTTGTTAATCCGATTGTAATACATGTTCTGTTACAAAAGATACATGGACATAGAAAATTACATGAAAGGGGGCTAGTGAATTAAGTTTAAATTATGCCGACTGAAACTTGTTAGTCAATCAATCCCCATTTTTTTTAACAGTATGAATATGTCTCCAGTTTCTTTAACATAAGGTAATTGGAATGTAAAAATCAGTGCGCTAGAAAGTAGAGCATGTTTTAAAACAATGAACAAACGCTATCACGTTAATAACGTTAAACTTGTCCCCATTTCACGTAACGAATTAAGGGCAAGTTGTGTGAAGCCATAAGCCACGCGCCGCTTTCCAATCTTCCGACATGCGCAATCACAGGAAGCTGTGGGAAGACGAACATTCCCTATTTTAGAGCGTTACCTTATACGTAATGTTTATCTTAGAAAAAATAGTTTAACATTTCTTAACTAGATGGCGTTGTTATCAATTTACAACATAGTTTCGAAATTACAACAAAAATGAGAAGCAATTTAGAGCAAAGATACGAAATAAGAATCGGAATGAATCAGTTTTATGTTTCAATATTTTTGTCGCGTAATGTATTGCATTAACCTTTTCTGTGAAGGCTCAACACGTAAGTGGACAAGTCTAGATATCTTCCGCATTGTAGCTTGTGCAAACCCGTTCCGCTTTCAAGGTATAAGACAAAAAGCTCTCATTTAAACTCCCAGCTTACATGGCGCCCTAATCACAATTGCAACGAAGTTTATCTTGTTAACAGGTTTTTGTAAGACTGGCTTTTTATTTTTTAGGCAGGTAGACATGCATAGTCGATGTCAGACATTGCTATTTTTTATCTATTCAAAGATCTAGGATTCAACATAAATAAACGTGTTCTTAAGTTCTCGTGTGTTTGTAACTTTTTTATGAATAATCAGTTAATTGTAGGTCTAGGAAGTTGTCAAAATGTATTACGTATAAATAGAAATATGAAAGTGTTGTTTTTATTTCCGTAAACAACCAATTATATTATTTTATATTACTTTTACATCCTTTATGTAAAAGACAAGGTTTATTTTTAATAGCAACATGCACGTTAAATCTTTAATCATTACACTTTTTTGCATAATAAAAATAAGTGGGAAGGGAATT